CAAAGTGGCCCCTGGTCAAGTTGTCCCTGGTCAAAGTGGTCCCTGGTCAAAAAAAGGCTGGGAACCACTGCCCTAGACAGTTCAGGTCCAGGCTATTTGGCTGACTACATCCCATTTTATGAACCTGCTCGGACCCTGAGATCTTCAGGAGAGGATTTTCTCTCAGTCCCAACTGCATCCTGCATCTCAAGCTCAGTTGGTGGGAACGAGAGAGAAAGGACCTTCCTTCTCGGTGGCTGTTCCTTGACTCTGGAACTCCCTGCACAGAGAAGCCAGTATGACTCCCTCGCTGTTGTCCTTCCAGTGGCAGGCTAAAATATTCTTATTCAGACAGGCTTTTAAAGAAGAAGAAAATTAAGATCAAGTAAGGGAGTGCTGCGGTATTTAGCTTAGAATGTGTTTTAATGGATTTTAACTCTGATTTTTTAAAATACTGTTATGTTTAATTCTGTTTTAATGTTTGCATATTTGTATATTTAAAATTGTGTGGTAATACTTTCATGTAAGCCGCTTTGCGTCTCCAGGAGAGATAAGGCAGAGTATAAATAAACATATAACAACACTCGTTTTTTAAAGTTCTGTTAAGTTAATCACTTCTATATATGTATGTACTATCACTATTCTTAATGGATGATTTTAATATATAGACCGAGAAACTCTCCCTTTTGTACAAAAGAAGATGCCACCTTGATGCCAAACAGAAATAACAGAGTAGCTTGGATGTTCCAAGCTGAAATGCCTCGCCACTGATGGCTTTAATCAGTTGAAATGCCTTGCCACTGATTGCTATATATGGGTTCCTAAACCCATATATAGGGCTGAGGATATTTTGCCCATGTATTGCAGATGACATCCTGTATGACTGCATTTAGTCACATTACCAGGCGATGTGTGTGTATGTGTTGTTGTTTTTTTTATGTAGCAGGTTTTCCATGTCACTGTACTCCTCAATATGTCTGTTTAAGGTGATACAATGTTTTGTCCTGGATTGTTCAGTGGTATTTTCAAAACAACCTTTATCAGCAATGCCCTTAGATTTAGCAACTATTGGAAATACGAATTGCAGAAGATCTTTAATTTTCTGTTTCTCAAAAATAATTAAAGTAAAGTTCTTATTTCTATATATAATAGTAACTAGCTAGTGGTCAGTGCTAGATGTAACTATTTAAAAGGAACTTCTAACCTTTACAGCAGACATTGTTGGACTACAACTTCTATCAGTCCTTGCCATTAGGATTGCAATCCAGCAATATCAAGAGGGCTCACAACAGTTCCAGAATCTAATTGAACAACAATTGTTTATGAACCTTGGGATTTAAAGCTTGTATCTCCCAAATTGCCCCTACTTTTCAGCTGTTTAGTTTAAAGCAGCTGAATCTCTCCAAATGTGATATTAAAGTATCTATGCTAGACGACTTGAGCAGGCATGATACAGACCTTTTGAAAAAAATGGCCCCTTGCTGCTAGATAGCACGTGGTTGGGCTAGTAAACAAATATTTCCAAAATCTGAGCATGCAAGCTGCCAGATGCAATGGAAATCTCTCTCTCATTCATGTTCTGTGGAAGGACCCCTTACTTTTTTCAATGTCAGACTCCTGTCTCCTGGTTGGAGGGAGCTACCTTTTTGAGACTATCAGCTTGCCAAACCTGGAAATGATTGTTCCTGGACATCTTCATTTATGTGGATCGGCAATGTATATGTATAGTGCTTTCCCAGAGACTTTTAAAGAGCTCTTTTTCCTCCCGGTGGGAACCTGAGCCTATGCCAAAGCAATTTTAAAGTAGCATCTATCTCCTCTGTGTTAGAGAATAGAAAGTGGGTTTACAGAACGCAGGCTACCAGGGGGATTTGCTTGCATATCTATTCCTGGTATGGCCTTGGCCTCCTTCCAATTTGACTGGCTCCATAAAAGACCATCAAGAAAATTCCCCAGGAGGCAGACTGGTTTCAAAGCAGGATCCATGATACCAGAGACACATAATTGTCTTTACTTTCACTATTGTGGCTACTGAAATAGGCTGTGTGGGGGGTTACCCTTAATGATTGCTTGGAAGCAGAAGTTGACTCTGATTCCAGCATGCTTGCTGAGCTATCTATTCCTGAAAAGATGTGATTATACCTCTGTGCTGCAGACCCCAAATTGACAAAAAACAAAAACAAAAACCAATCAACCTCCAGTCTATGCATGTAACTGCTTTTCTACTTTCACCATAAACTATGAATGTGAATTATAGGTCTGCTAGATATGTGAATATCCATTAGTTTCTTTTTCTTTGCATTTTTCGGAATTCTACCAGAAGACTCGCTTTCTCAAACTCCATTTCATATTGCAATATGAGTGGGGTTGCTTATTTGGGTACAAATTTCCTTGTGCCCCCATTTTATTGTATTTCCTCCATTGACTAAAGGAATGGGAATCAAGTAGTCATTCAGATGTTGTTAGACTACCACTCCCAGCATTCTCCATCAGATTGGCTATGGCATCTGGAGGGATACATGTTTCCACTTCTGGACTAAAACATGTTTTTGTACATTTGTCAAACATGCACATTTTAATTGTGTGTCTATCATTCATCAAAGAAAAGAAGTAAAAAGCGGCTTTCAAATATCTGCAGCCTTTGTCACCCACTTTTTTTTATCCTATAGGGCAGTGGTTCTCAACTTGTGGGTCCTCAGGTGTTTTGGCCTACAATTCTCAGAAATCCCAGCCAGTTTATCAGCTGTTAGGATTTCTGGGAGTTGAAGGCCAAAACATCTGGGGACCCACAGGTTGAGAACAACTGCTATAGGGAAAGGATTTATTGTCGAGCCTGGGCTCTGTTGCCTACTAAGACCTTTCACAAATTGGAATGTTGTGTGGTTTCTGGGCTATTTGGCCATGTTCTAGCAGCATTTTCTCCTGATATTACACCTGCATCTGTGGCAAGCGAAACAACACTCCAGTGATTCTGGCCGTGAAAGCCTTCGACAATACCTGTCACATATTGGTCAAATCCGTACCTACCTTCATCTCATCCAAGTTTATTATAATAAACTGATCTCTAAGTGTCCAGATATTCCAAAGCCCAAAACAAAGCAGCCAGATCAATATGGCATCTTTAAATTGCTTATGTCACTTCTACATTCATTATTCAACTACAAAACAGAAAGACTCAATTTATTTCTGCGGTCCTCTATTTGTTTTCATGCCAAGTCAAAAGTGTTGAGCAAGTGGGCTTATCAATAAAAGACTCTCCTCATAAATGTACAACAGAGTAACTTATTAGCAGCAGCGCAACCCATCACCAGTAGCCCAAAGTGATAAAAAGGACAAAAATACACAGACCAATGTTATCTCTTCCATAGGAGGCTTTTCTTTGTAGTAAAATAATATAGTTGCACTATTTATAATAACAAGGTTTCCACAACACAAATAAAGAAATACATAGTAGCTTTACACGCAGCAGCCTTCAACCTGGGGTTTCTTACAGGAGGCTTCTCTCACACAGATGTTTACCTCACACAGACTGAGGAGTTCCCTCACTGAGTCAAACTAACTCTAACAGGCTTCGGCCTACACACTCTCCTCAGGGCAACACTAGCTTTGGCCCACTAACTCTAACAGGCGCAGGTCTACTATTTCAGTGCTTGTTTCACACTTTTGTAATAAAAAATACCGAGTTAATATTTATTATTTCTAACAAAATGAACATTTCAACCTACAATTGATAAAAAAGATCTTCCCGCCACATTTAGAAATTCAAGGTTTAGACAACCCAACGTTTGTTATTTCTTGATATAACAGATCTTAAGTCACTTTAACTGGCTGGTTTCTATAAATCCACATTGTTTTATCAATATTTTTCCCATAGGGACCATAGTTTTTATTATTATACATTACTTAAAAAAAACAAATTCTGAATATTGACAATTTCACCAAATCTGGTGGGCAAACACACACACGCATACACAAACTCTATAAAAAGTTGTGTGGCCCTCCAAATCTGATTTTTCGGCAACTCCCATTAACATTACCCACTGAAGAACAATGAAGCTGGCTGTTGAACATCCCACTACAAATCCAAGGGAAGTCTAAGACACAAAACTGTGTGTGATGTTTCCAGCAAACTTTAAGAAGGATGCAGAAGAAACCTCAGTAAGTTCTTATTGCTCCTCTCCTTGCTCTAGACCAGGGATCCTCAAACTAAGGCCCAGGGGCTGGATATGGCCCTCCAAGGTAATTTACCCGGCCCTCGCTCAGTGTCAACCTGTCTGAAATTACTTAAAAGCATACAATAACAACAACCCTATCTCATCAGCCAAAAGCAGACCCACACTTCCCATTGAAATACTAATAAGTTTATATTTGTTAAAATGTTCTTCATTTTAATTATTGATTGTTTTAAAGTGTTTTTGCACTATAAATAAAATATGTGCAGAATGCATAGGAATTCATTCATGTTTTTTTTTCCAAATTATAATCTGGCCTTCCAACAGTTTGAGGGACTGTGACCTGGCCCTCTGTTTAAAAAGTTTGAGGACCCCTGCTCTACAACAATAAACACAAGTCCTTTCTGACATTTTCTCAGTTACTAAAATGACTATGTAGTTGTACCTGCCACAAGAGGTCCTAGATAGTTCAACTCTCCAACCCACCGAAGAGCTGACAACAAATGTATTTCAGAAGGTAATATTTTACCTCTTGTCTCCAACAGGTGTGAGAAAAGCAGAGAACTATGATCAGCCAGAAAGGCGAATATTAAAGCATCATCATTCCATTGACTCAGATCCAAGAAAATGAATACTATTTTCTGTTTATGATGCCCAATGCTTGGCTGGATGTCTCTCCTCCACTCATAACCGAGCTGAATGATCCTCCTACCTCTGCTAGTGCACAGCTCATTTGATCTTCCTGTTTATCAAACAGCTCCCTTCTACCTCTTTCTTGTTCCATCCCTAAAAAAACATCCATTCACAGTCATTATACTAATTTTAATGGATTCATTACGATACACTTACAATTTTCTGCCTCTGATGTTATGTATGGGGTGAAACTCCTGGACTGGCTGTCATCAGAACCACTTTGTGCTGGGCTAAAATGGGCTGAAACGAAAAAGAAAAGAAAAAAAGAAAAAAAAAGAAAAAAGAAATTGAAAATAAATATTAATTATGAACCTCAGAAAAGGTAACCAAATAATCAGTTATAAACATTTTCAAAAGACTGTTGACAAAGTAGATAAATGTTAATAGATATTAAACAAGTACAATAAAATGTAATCTTTAAAAAAAACCACAGAAGTTACTAATTTGCATCCATTCCCCACCCACCCACCCACCTACCCACCCACCCACCCACCTATCCACCCACCTATAGTCCGCTTGGACATACACAATACTCCAGTCACCTTTTCTAAAGCTTCCATGTATGCTCATCTGGATGGGATTCCGCCTCACCAAGGTGACCAGGGAGATAGGTTTTGTAGTTGTATAATAAAAGATGTGTAATACACAAACCATGCATCAAAGTAGGCCAGAAAAGCCATGGTATAGTGGTTTGACATCTAGATAAAGACTGGGAGACCAAGGTTCAAAACCCCACTTGAACATGGAAACCCCCATGGATATTTATTTATCGTATCAGAAACCAACCAAGGGTAGAGTTGTAACATATTTAAAAAACAATATGTTTAAATAACTTAGCATTATACTAACTGTCCTTTGACCTGTAGCTGGCCACTTGGAGTGCCTCTGGTGTTGCTATAAGAAGGTCCTCCATTGTGTATGTGGCAGAGCTCAGTTGTAGACTCCACTTTGTGGCCCCATTTCTTAAGGTTGGCTCTGTATCTTGTGGTGTCAGAGTGCAATCTGGCACCATGGATGACCTTGGGCAAATCACACTTTCTGAATCTCAGAGGAAGGCAATGGCAAAACTTCTCTGCACAAATCTTGCCAAGAAAATGTTGGGATCGGTTGCCATAAACCAGTAACAATTTGACAGCACCGAACAACAGCACATTGGATTAAGCTGAGTTCTAACCATTTTATTTGAGACTTTAATATCTGTTGGCACTGTTATATGATGTTTAATTTATTGTTATAATGCTTTTGTTTTAATGGTTTTTAACTGTTTTATGATGTTTTAAGCATTGAATTTTGCTATTGTGAACCGCTCTGAGTCGCCCGAGGGCTGAGAAGAGTGGTATACAAATATAGTAAATAAATAAATGTTATCCATTAATTATTGCTAACTATTAACACTAATCTCAATGTTATTCTTTATTGGCTTCAGCTACAACTTTCCTAGGAGTTAAGTCCCACTGAAACGAATGCCTTTAGCAGTCCTTTGCCTTCATTTCTTTGTTCAGGTTTATTTAAAATGTGATGATTCAGATCTGTCGTCACACTTAGATTAACCATGGGGCTCTGTTCTTGGCTTCTCTTTCTATTTTGCAGCACTTGAACATGTAAAACCCTACGCATTTTGTGTTTTGCATGAGCCAGGCTAACCTCTATAATCTCAAAACCCATGCTAATTACCCAGCTGCGGTTTTGAGGCCAGAAAGTATATTTTGCTTCATCATTTCAGCCCTTCTAAAGTGGTTACACTCCATAACGAAATCAACAGAAAGGCTTTCAGAGTTGTGGAAAAGGAAATATTTTTAGTGTAACCAGTGTAATATACACAAAACCCAAGGAGAACTGTCACATTAAAATTCAAACTACATACCTCTCTGCATTTCACAAAATGTGAAAACAATTTTATTTTCCTTATAGGATGGACAAAGTGTTTGCTAGCTTTAAGTTACATTTGGTAGAGTCAGCAGAGGATTTAAAAAAAAACCCTCAAAGCTATTAATTGTACGCTGTCATTTGGTCACTGCTGTTCTAGAATTTGGACAGTAAATTGATGATCCAAGACCCATATTTAGACTTCCATTCTGTATCTTGCTGGCTGTCACTTCAGTCACACTATGAACATGCTTACATGTGCAGGATGAAGCTCTTAGTGCCTAGCCCACTGTTACTGCTGATCTTTCAAGAAATTGGACAGCTCATACATGGTGTCCTCCTTTTTTCACAGCTTCATCCTCTTAATAATACAAAGCAAACCCAAATTTGGCAGGGGGGTGGGGTAAATAAAACATTGCTACAAAGCTCCTCCTACATGTTATATGCTTTCAAGACGGCCAATTCTCTCACAACAGGAGCGGTTGCTCCTGACACGACAAAAAAAAAAGTTGACTAACAGCAACAGTAAGTTGAATGCTGGACCACTCTAACAACTACCATGTCAGACTACACAGAGAAGCCACTGAAATCTAAAAGAATGTGGACAATTTCAACAAAAAGGAGGAAACCTTGAAAACGAACAAAATCTGGCTACCGGTATTTAAAAAACTCTAAAACCAGGACAGTGAATAAAGAACAACACTTAAAAAACAGGGGAATTCCAGACAATCAATCAGGGGCAGCTAACATCTCCCAACAAAGAATCCTCCAGGCAGCAACCAACCAGGTTTTGAAGCTGCAAGGCTATTAAATGCTAATCAAGGAGGTCAATTGCAACATTTACACTTGCTTCACGCAGACAAGAGTTCTTTCTCCCACCCTGGACATTCCACAGATATATAAACCTCACTTGCCCCGTTTCCAACAGACTTCACAACCCCTGAAAATGCCTGCCATAGATGTGGGTGAAATGTCAGGAGATAATGCTTCTGGAACATGGAAAACTCACAGCAACCAAGTAAACCATGGCAAGGTTTATTCAAAAGAAGTTTGCCATTGCCTCCCTCTAAAGCTGGGAATTTAGGCTGCCTGAGGGGTTTCCGCAGCTGACCAGGAATTCAAACACCTAGAGTTTTACTCCAACACTCAAACCACAACACCATGTTGACTCCCCCTATAGAGAGTCAATGTACACTATCCATTCCCTTGTATTACAGCAAAGCTGGACACTTCAGCCTTAATTGCGTAGATCATTGTGTTCCTGAATCATCTCTATATTACACATAGGTTTCTGGGAGATGGTGACCAATTGTCTAAGACCATTCAAAGTTCTGAGACTCATCTCAAAGCTTACATGTTTCTAAAAATAGAATGCATTAGACCCTCAGTATCCACTGGGGTTTGGTTCCAGAACCCACAAGGGATACCAAAATTTGTGGATGTTCAAGTCTCATTATATACAATGACGCAATAAAATGGCATCACTTGTATAAAATGACAAACAACTTCAACAAGAGCTGTAAAATAGTGGGAAGCTATAGCAGGTTATGCCTATACATCAGCATAATGTTTGGCTGGAAGCAAAATCCATGTTTGCTATTTTGAATCCCCTTTTCCATGGTTGATTGAATCTGTGGGTGCAGAACCCATGTACACAGAAAGTTATTCAGAATTATGACAGATATAGTTAATATCTGCTATACCCTTAATAGATGAAAGCAGTTTCATATATGCATACTCCTCGTTTGACTGCTATAGCATCAAGCAATAGCTTTTGCCAAATAGTGCAAAGTTGGGCTATAAGTGCAGGGTAGGACTGAATGTGGCCCTCAGCCTACTTTTGAAAGTCCAACTTTAATCATCAGTTCACACCACAGCATGGAAAAGTTAACTTCTAGATATCGCATTTCCAGAATCTCCCACAGTCTGTGTATTTCTTTTATTTATTTGTTTGTTTGTTTGTTTGTTTACTGTACTTGTATACCGCCTTTCTCAGCCCACAGGCTACTCAAGGAACCTTATTCCCAGATCCTATTCATACACCTGGTAACAGTGACCTATTTGTATCCCGGTAACCAAACATAAAGGTAAGGAAGATAAATAGAGAGAAGAAATAGTGAGAAAAAGAGAAACAATGAGAAAATCCAAAAAGGGGACATTATACCCATTCAGATTATTGTTTTTTGCCACCCTACATTAGCGTCAATTCAACCCATTACAGATTATCCCTCCAAAATAATCATTGTTATCCCAGATGTAGTGCCTCATTATCAAATATCTCTGAATATTCATTTTCAACTCAGTGCATTCCAGAGGTTAAACTGTAGAACTCACAGGTTCATTTGTAAAGGCTGCAGTCCTAAACTTACGTAGTACAAAGTAAATGCCATTGAACTCAGTGGCTCTTCGTTTTCATTAATGCATTAAAAATTACACTGCAAATCCTTTTGAGGATTTGGATCATGTGATGTACAGCCTTTATTTTCAAATCAAGCACCAGTATAATCAATATATGTAATGAACTTACAATAGCCTTATCTCACCTAGTACCCGCCAAATGTGTTGTACTACAACGATCACCATCCTATTTCAGGATGTTCAGTGGGCAAGATAATAGCAATAGTTCAGTGGTTCTCAACCTTCCTAATGCTGTGACCCCTTAATACAGTTCCACGTGTTGTGGTGACCCCCAACCATAACATTATTTTCATTGTGACTTCATAACTGTAATTTTGTTGCTGTTATGAACTGTAATGTAAATATCTGATAGTCAGGACCAAATTTGGCACAAATGCCTGATACCCCCAAATTTGAATACTGGTGGGGTTGGGGGGTTGATTTTGTCATTTGGGAGTTGTAGTTGCTGGGATTTATAGTTAACCTCTGAACTCCACCAATGATGGGATTGAACCAAACTTGATACACAAAACTCCCATGACCAACACAAAGTACTGGAAGGGTTTGGTGGGCACTGACTTTGAGTTTTGGAGTTAAAGTTCACCTACATCCAGGGAGTACTGTGGACTCAAACAATGATGAATCTGGACCTAACTTGGCACAAATACTCAATATGCCCAAATGTAAACACTGGTGGAGCTTGGGGAAAATAGACCTTGATATTTAGGAGTTGTAGTTGTTGGGATTTATTATTAACTTTATTATTATTATTAACTTTATTTGTACGCCGCTAGCATCTCCCGAAGGACTCGATGCGGCTTACAAAGGCCAAGGCCTCAAACACAACATAACAATACAAACCTAAAGCAAATTAAAAACAATTAAAGCAATATTAAAACAACAAGCAATAAACAATACACCAAAACACAATAAAACTGGGCCGGGCCAGAGTGAAGGGCACAGGGATTAAAAGTGCT